ATATATATATATATATATATATATATATATATATATATATATATTCATAAAATGTAGACTAATTCTCACGACACACAACCTGACGATGACCTGAAGGGAATTGATGCTGATGTTATGCATAGCATCTTATTTGAAGAGCTACAACCATACGTATTATATATGCTATAGGCTAAAAAAAATTAACCCTTTGTGGATGTCAAAAACAATACGAGCCGAACTCGAGCTCTTCGAGTATTTTTATTTTCTGGACTCGGACTAGAGCTCTAGCCAATTTTGATGAGCTCGAGCTCATTTTTTTTCCCTAATTTAATTATATTATTAGTTTTTTTTATTATTAAAAAATATAAATTTTATTATTAAAAAAATTACAAAATAAATAATGAGCTGTAATTAATTATTTTTTTTTCCAATTTTTATATGTACTTTTTATTTTATATTATTTAAATTATATATATATATATATATATATATATATATATATATATATATATATATATATATATAAAGCTTGTGAGCTCAGGTAAAATTAAGAAAAATCTCGAGCTCGAGCTCGAAAAACTAGATTTTGAGTTTGAGCATTCGTCGAGTCAGCTCATCGAGCTCAAGAGCCGGTTCAGCTCATTTGCGTCCCTCCGTCCACACAAACAAAAAAAATGAGAATCCATATTAAAACCAATTTTTATGGTTCTTGCTGTATAATGCAAAATATCCCCCCCCCTTTTTTTTTTATTTCCCTAATTCAATAATAACACAAACCAGAATAAAAACAATATAATGTAGTAGAGTGATTGAGATTGAGGTATAATATAGGGGACCAAAGATTTGGATATGTATGTATGACTTCTCTATGAAATAATTGAGGAAGGCCCCACAAGGTTCAATGATCTTTGTATTTGAGGTGGAGATAGATACATTGTGTAAAATAGATGGATACAAAACTCAAAATAAATAAATGACCAGTCGACCAGAAATTTATTACATTGTGAACTTAATTTTCAAGGGTTCGGGAGGCAGCGTCACCAATTGTTTGTTTAAGGATTATTTGCATAAAAAATAGCACAAAATAAGTGAACACCATAAATGAAACATTTTAAAGTTACATTTAAAAACATTTCAACATGTAATTATTATGTGAATTCTTTACAAACATCAATCGGCCTTTTCGATTTTTTATTTTTCAAAAACTAAAAATTCATAATCGTCGTGTCATTCTCAATTTCTTGAGAGATGTCTCGTCAAATAAAAATAAGCGAAGCGTCACAACTACTACTTATGATATTCATAAATCGTAACTGAAAATACCCCCTATTGCCAATGTTAACGCCCAATTTCAAATCAAGTATTCTACCATTCTGCAAGCAAGATCACTAATTTCATATTCAATCCCGATAATCCATTCCCTAACTCTAGTTTTAGATGGGTGGATTAAATAATATAAACTCGAGTTTTCGAACTTATAATTTTACAAGAGGAATATCCTTCGTAAGAATTTCCTATAATAGATGGTTGAACTTGAACCAACTATGATTCAAACATTTGACTAGAACAAACATCATTGCAGAAAATATCACATTAAGTGGTTATATACAAATCCACCCCCATCTTTAATTATACTAGCTACATTGAAAATACGTATATAATTACATCGTGCTCTCCGTTCCGTACGCAAAACTAACACGTAGTTAGTATGCATTTCTTAGAAGCACTTCTCGTGTATCTAACAGTATAGACTATACATACAATTTTAACAAAAGGGGCAAGCAAAAGTTCACGATGATGACTCGTTTCTCTCTCTACGTAACCTTGCTCCCCATGACATATTATCGTTTACATCCTTTTGCACACTTCTTCTCTTCAGCCCCGATAGCTGAGACTGCCAACGGCTCTTCCACTCGCTTTTCTCTTCCATTTTCTGCTTTTTGCACAGAACAAATAATAATTAGACAAAATTATATGATAAAATTAACAGAAAACGATGGGAGGAAGAAAAAAAACAGAATTTCGGTATATTTTCTCATGTCTGGAGAATATTATGCAAGAAAAAGAATATCTTTGTCGATGTCTTAAAACTTAAATCCAACACCACACAAAGTCAAGGTGGGCATAATTAGTGGACATGATTGATATCAAAGCAATTCACGACGACGATTAAAAGTAAGTCGTTATCAATTTATCGTATCGCTTCAAATGCGATTTCATTTTTATTTAAAAGTCAGCCTAATTATTTATAGAGTAAAAAAATTACGGCCACCACCTGAGGTATGGTCAAATAACGAAATCAACTATGAATTTTCTTACACGTCCACCCTTATACCCTTATACTGTCAAATTTAGTGGAATGTTCTCTAGTTTGTACTCGTTTTGTAGAAAAATACAGATTCTAATGTACCACAATCTGATATTTACAAGTCAAGAGACGCATCTAATGATCATCTTTTTTCAAAATATGGAACTCGAATGGGGTAAAACCGGTACAAACTGGAGAATATTCCACATAATCTAGAAGATTCTAAATTTCACCTTACCTCAGACCGTAATTTACTAATGTTTACTCAAACATTAGGGGTTCTTTCGTAATTTAACTTTACCTCAAGGGTGGCCGTAATTTACCCTTATCTATGTCTATCAATTCACTAGCAATAACTCTACCGATTCGGCTGTTTCGTTGATGCGTCTAAACTACAAATCCTCCATCGAAAATAGCTATAAAATATCGAACCTAATATTCGAAATATGAATTGTCGTACGGTACAACAACTTCTAGTAAAGGATTGGTTCACCAACAAATACTCAAAACCAATTTCCTTACCAAACTACAACTAACTTCAAACTAACCATATCTCAAACCCCATAGCACTCAAATTAATAAGAATTAAACACAAACAAAATTTAATAAGAAGAAATCAATTAAAGAAAACACAAAGGAGATGATAACCTCGTCGAATTTACTGCGGCGACGGGCATTGAAAGCGAGGTGAACGCCGTTGGCCATATCGCGATCGTACAATTCCCTGGTGGAAGGATCCGAAAGGGTCTCGTAGGCCTCCTGAACCCGGATGAATCGCTGGGTGTACTCCTCGACCCGACCCGGTGGGGATACGTCCGGGTGGTACTTCCTCGCTAGCTGCTTGTACGCCTGTTTTATATCCACTAAACTACCCGTCTCCGGTATGCCCAGCAGCTCGTACAGGCTCATCGCCGAACGCTCCGAAACGGTGTCGTTTAGGGACGAGGAGCACCGGATGACGTGTCCGGGTCTGGGTAGGGTCCGGAAGGAGATGGAATTATTGGGTGGGTATTCGGGTCGGGTCGAATGGGCGAAGGAGAACCGGAGTGGTTCGCTTCTTGAGGGTTGTTGTCCTAGACAATAATGGCTGCACATGTCTTTGTGTTTGTGTGTGTGTGTGTGTGTGTGTTTTTTCTTTTTCTTCAAACAAGTTCTTGTTATTAGTTTTTTTTTCTTGGCTTGTGATTTAGGGGTAGCGGTTCTTGATATATATATACACACACAAACATATATATATATATATATATATATATATATATAGAGAGAGAGAGAGAGAGAGAGGGAGAGAGATACACATATGTCATATGTGTCCCACAGTATTTTATTATTATAATCTTTTAGTCGGTCGGAAAAATAAATTAGGTAGATTAGTTTAATGAGCACTATGTATTGTTATTTATAAGATATTTCTTTATTTTCTTTTTTACGGGATCTTTAGAATAGGGTACACCGTACACGGTTAAAGAATACTACTCCCTCCATCCCATATTATTATGGCTGACAATCGATATCGGGACATGTGAACAGAGCTTGGATTGGCTCAAGCTTACATATCATCGGACATCGTTACTATATGGTCAAGCTTATATACCATATATCGGACCTCGTTACTATATGCTCAAGCTCGGATTATGTATTTTTCAGTTTTCGAGTTTATATCGGGCTCCATTACTATATAATTGTAATGAGTAAAAAAATAAATTATAAAAACAAGTGATAAACAAGATTTACGTCCATTGAAGCTAATCCAAAAATCCTAAACGATCTTTGCAAGTTATTGGAAAAACTTAATAATAAGACGGAAGAAGTAAAAAAAGATTAGTAACTCTTATACTCTTATTAGTAGAAACGTTTTATATTCTCAAATCTCAGCGACCAATTAACAATTGAATTTTAGTGGGTATGTTGCATTTGATTTCTATTTAACTTGTTGCCACCGCCACCACTTAATTCCTTTTATTTTGATTTTTTTTGTTTGCAAAATAAAATAATCTTATACGGTCGTAACTTTTATGTTGAGTCATAGCATTAAAATAATAAATATATTATATATTTTATTATTAACCTAATCGGTCGGGCCTTTTTCGGATTTAGCCATAGTAGACTCAAACTCGGCTTAGAAATAAATTGGGTTGAGTAAAATGGCTCAAACTCGGCCCGACCCGCTAAAAAGTAGGCCCAACTCAAATATAATCGGACCGAGCTTTCGGCCTTCGGTTAGACCCGGCTCAATTGCCGGTTCTACATATTTTGTCATTTTGGGTGGTTGTGCGATGATTGAAAAACTCAATAAATATCCATAAATTATACCAAAAAATAAAATGGTCAATACTAAAATACCCTTGTCATTAGTTATTTTTCAATTAACTAAGTAAGAGTAATAAGGGGGGAAAATTGATAAAAATGCAATTAATGTTTTATCTCTAACATGACAAATAATTTTGAGACAAAAAAAAAAAAAAAACACCCCAAAGAGACAAATAATATGGGACATAGGGAGTATTAAATAACATTAGGCTTTGGATAAATTACATCTACACCCCTAAGGTATGCTAAAATAACTTTGAGGTCCCTGCGGTATCGGTAATTACAATCATCTCCATGAAACATTATCAGAACCCTAACGTACCAATGCATTAGATAAGCTATTCCGATAGCGTTCTAACGAACTATTAGTTTAAGACACTGGTAGAGACGACATAGAGTTAGGGGAGCGACATGGCTCTCCCAACATTTTCTAAATCCTTATTATCTTATATAAGATTTATAAATTTTCGTCTATGGTAGAATTAACATCCCCGCAAAAACTAAATATAGTACATATCGGTTCCCAGGACATGAAATCTTGCCTCCAGTAATTGTTTCAAGGGTGTGCCTGTGATTACCAATACTACATGGACTTTAAAATTATTTTAGCTTACCTAAGGGGTATAGGTGTATTTTACCCTTAGTTTTTATACTAAAATTATGCTCTTTGCACACATTTTAAAAAAAGTCTCATTCGCCTACCTCTATTTTTGAAATTTATATGAGATATAGTGAAAACTGTTAGATGAATATAGCTATAGGCTCACCAAAAGAATAATATAAATTAAATTAAATTATTAGTATATTAACATAAATACCGTACTCTTAATTAATATAAGGGGCTTAATAGATATAGAAGACCTCACAGTAATTTCCAACATTGCTTCAAAAACTCCTAAATTTAACAGATTTTCTTCTTTTCAATCTAAAATTTTACGTTTTTTCCGATTTTATTAACTACAAAGCAACAATAAACTAAATGGACCACGATTATCCCGATATGAGGTAAAAAAAATCATTTTTTTTTTAATTTTTTTTATTACGCGTTAGTCAAAACGGAATCTCTTATAGCCAATCTGTGTTAGATAACACTTAACTGTAAAAAAAAAAATGGTTTCGTGGTGTACAACACGAACCGGATGTTCCGTGTGATACTGACTCTATTGTTGCTTACTAATATAACTCAGTTGCTGCTTATTAGTACAACTCTGTGCAAATCACCGGATCATCATTACTGTTAGTTTTTCTAAGCAATTTAGAGAGCTATGGAGCGGAGCGCATAAGAACTTTTAGCAAAATGACAAAATCCACATATTCTTATAATTATAGAGAATATTTCTTAGGGGCTTCCAACAAATTTCCCCTTTTTTTAACAAGATCATAACTGACTTTTAAAATGAAACTTGTTGTGGATTCAGGTCCACAGACAATAACAAGCCACATAAAAATGAAAATCAAACCAAGAAAGAACACACAGATACCACTGTGTTGACTCAACCGACTGTCGACACCGTTGCTGATAACACAATTACAGTTATCACAGATCTAAAACTGAAAGCTATAGCACAGATAAAAAGCACAATATTAATAGTAGTTCGACCTGTATTACCACGGTAATACAGGCCCACATCCACTGTGCAGAGAGAACAAAATCCACTAGATCAAGAAGGTTACAGATTACAAGATAGTGATAACACTCAAGCTCTCAAGAGCTATTTCACCTAAGCTATATTGACACTCTCGTGTGTATACCTCACTGTTTCTCTCTTGTTTCCTAACCTCAAATCTCACAAACCCTGTGAAGATTTCCTTTTTGCTTTCCCTCTAGCTTCTTCTTTTGTTCTTGAGAGTTTCCTCTCTTTCCAGCGCCTCAAGCCTTATCCCCTTCATTAGACTTAGCCTCCAAGCCTCTCCTTCAAGTGCTTTATATATGCAGTTAACCCTAGCAAAAAGCATCTTGGTCCCCAAGCAAACCACTGTGAGCTCGACAGGTGTCCACCACAGTCAAAGTGATCCTAACGGGTTCTGTCTTCTAGTGTAACAACTCCTTACACTTTCCAGCTTATCCTTAACTTTACTTTAACTGATGCACCAGATAAAGTATCCACTTAGCATGTACACGTGGATATGAGTCACATAATAACAAAACTAGTTAGATGATAGTTGGGAATGTTTAAAAAGTTCCATAAGTAATTACCACTATAAAGATTCATCCCGTTTGAATAAATAATGGATGGTTTATTTATTCATTTGCATGAACATTGCTTCTTTTATAGCTTATTACTGATTACTAATTCAACATTGGCTGCTTAAAGCATTGAAAAGTTAGTCGGACTAATCATAATTCTCTATCCAGAGAAGGGCATGTATCTACTTATCTTTTGGATTAAAAAATTGGTTAATGGCGTCGAAGTTCATTACATACTAACTTTATTAATCCACATGTGTTTAAACATGTTTGGCGAAAAAACTATTGATTGAGAACTTTATTGATCCAAGTACTAAAAGTTATTTGTACGACAAAACTAAGCATAACCTTTTAAATACAGTCGATTCATAATTTCTAACTCTAATTTAATTCGATTTCACCAATTCACCAATTTAAATCATTGAATGCCGTTTATTCTAATTTATTTCCAATTTTACCAATTTCACCAATTCACAAATATAGTATGATTATATTTTTTTAAATTAGGGGGAGGGTGGGAAGGGGGCATAATAGGTATGGCAGCGGAGCGGGTGTCCTCGAAAAAGTGTAATACTAGAACCATTACTATTTAATATAACTCAAACCAAAACCATTTAAATTTTTTATCGAAATACCATAACCATTACCACCAATATCCGGATACTCACGGATATCCATTAAAATACCATTTAAATTATGCTAATAAAAAATAACTTCGGGTCCGATAACATTTAAGTAACTCACAGGAAAGAGGAAGAAATTAAAAAAGGAAAAGAAAAAAAAAGTAAAATATACAAATATATCCTCTCTAAATTATTTAATACTTTATTTAAAATTTTGCCAAATTACTTTTTTATTCATATTATGTTGAATAAAAAATAATATATTAAATAATATATATATATATATATATATATATATATATATATATATATATATATATATATATATATATATATATATATATATATATATATATGTATATATATTAAATGGTGGAATGTCCATAATCGTAGAGGTAAAACCAGAACCATACCAAAACCATGACGGTTTGCTTTTCTTTTAGCAAAACCATTACCAAAACCTAATGGTTACGGTAGCATTTTTGAAACAGAGCGGGTACCCACAGATAGCTAGCGGATCAGATTTTTTTGCCATCCCTAGGCATGACCCTCCCTGACCTTATGCTAGCTTCGCCATTCATACCATAACCGTAGATACCCCATCATTTTTAAAGTGAACAATGTCGTGTACATACATAAGTAAGAAACCCACTACACTTTCATTTCACTTCATGTACATGCATCATTACTACAAGAAAACAGGGTTTCACCAACGAAATATACATCGCCAAATCAATAAAACCGGTCGCTAAATAACAATAACGACGGATTCACCGACGGAATTCATCGGTCGGTATAAGCCTCGACACTAAATGCTACCAACCAAATTTTTTTCGACTATCGGTAAGTTAACGACATAAATGGGGTCGGTGATCAAATAATATTATGTCACACAAATGATCTTCAAAAGGATATTTTTTTGTCGGTAAGATTCAAGTTAGTGAGGTACATTTCTGTTGATTGGTAAATGTTACCGACTAATTGTTTTAAGTTAGTAAAATACCAACTCTTTTTCGTCGTGAAAATTCAAGTTAGCGACGTATTATTCTATCGATCAAGCGGTTGGTAAATGTTACCAACAAAC